CATAATATAAATATATAAATGTGAAAACACAGTTATGAACCTACAGAGAATGATCATCGGCTTTACAGAGTTTCAGCTCATTGTTTAGATGTCAGCCATAGAGTTTACTGTTTTGATTCACTCTCACAGCTTCGTTTTTGCCCACAGCAGGCAGCTGTGTAGTGAAAAAGACACCGACCAACTGCTCAGCACTATCAGACAGACAAAGTTAGCAACGATAATCCATATATGCCTTTCAAAGATCCTAGCTAAATTTACAGGTCATAGCTGCACACGTGACATGGAAGTTTCTGAGCCATGAGATATTAGTAACAATAGTGAGAACAATTAAATTTCAATATGATGTTGCTTCATTTGCATGTGTTAATGACTACATACTTCAAAGTTAAGTAAAATTATTTTCTATTTTTTTTATTTTACCAGTTGTATTTCATTTAGCACAATTTAAGTGAACTATAAACTTCCTATTCGTTCCCGCAGTTAATGTACTCTTTTCACCCATTTCTAAACATTACTGCATGTGACATGAGTTTTCATCTAGAATCAGTCAGTCTAAAGTCATGCACCACCTGTATACATGCAGCCATCAAATGGTTAAAGTCAAGTGTTCAAATTCAAATGTCTAATTTGTTTGTCTTTGTTTGCACAGAGCCGTTTCTCTCAGGCGCAGCCAGAAGTATACGCGAGACACAAAGTGAAGAGCTCTTCATTTGCCTTGGCTGCAGCTCTGCTCTCTTGTGCAGCTGTTCCAGCCTCCACCCGTCATTTGCGTCTCCACACTGTGCTGTGACGGACAGGTGGAGGCCTCTCACGGCGGTATTGATGCATGGCTCCAGGGCCCTTGGCTGTGGAGGCCCTAACGTATACTCAGTGATACTAAATCCAAGTACACTTCAACAGGACAACTCGTTTTGCAGCTAGCTACACTAGATTAAAAAAATTCAGCAGAGAGAGGGTTCAAAACTGAAACTACAGATAGTAGACAATTATAAAAAATATGTACTTTAACTTTAAGGTAACTAAATCCCCATTTTAAGAACTGCAACAAAAGTAAATTTCTTATATTAGCATACAATATATTAATGCATCCATATCTATGCATCCAATTTGTCTCTCTCTTTTTTTGACTGATTTTGGTTTTGGTTTATATGATTTGGCTTCTTTTGTCCTCTTTGATGTCTATCAAATATCAAAATGCTCATTCGCAGAGCACTATCGTACCGCAGTCAAAACTGAAACATTCAATTATGATTTATTCACTACTTTTTAGTTAGATCTTTATTTGTCATATGCACAAGAATTACAGGGCAATGAAATTTTTGTTCTCAGGCTCCCTCCAATAACGCTCATACAAAAAGCATATATAAAAAGAATCTAAGAATACATACATATATATATATATATACACATATAAAAAAAATTAAAAAATCAGTCTGCTGTTTGGTGCTGGGCAGGTAGTGTACAGTGGATTTATCACAGTTTTTATTGCAAACTGACATTGGTGAGACTGAACCAACACAGTAATTTGCAGTCAGGAAAACCAAAACAATGAGCTGAAAGATGCTAAAAAGTACAGCAAAGCTGAAGGGAAACTAATAATTCGGGTGATCATTTCCAGTGGGTTTGTAACTGCGAGTGTCATTTCATCGATTGTTAATTTAAAAATAATGATTAGCGCAGCTTTATAGTGAAAAAACAAGCAATTAAAGAATAATAACATCTATATTCATTGTTACTCAGTCAAATGACTAACAGTGGGAAAGTGACAGAGAAGAAGTGAGAATCATTTAAGTCACTGAAGCGCATCCACACGTTATAAAATGTTCTTGATCACAAATGTTGACAGTAGAGTCACCTTTCAGCAGTATAAGTCATTTTTTTAATCCACCAGCACAAACACTGAGATAAAAGGCTCATGAACAAATATTAACAGTAAACGCTCTACGAGTGCCAAATCATGATGCATAAGCAAACTACTGCAACTATAAGCCTGAGCTTCACTAACAACAGGAACCTGAGAAATTACTCACCACTAATTCTTCATAACCATAAAGCATAAGAAGCTATCTTAGGGACAGGGTGAGGTCCACTGCAAATTATATTACATGTCCATCACTTCTGACAGAAGTGAAGTAACCAAACAATAAAACACATTATTACAGTCATGTGGTTAATAGTGCATTAACCTAATACAATATTCCCTGTGTTTACACTGTCTTAAAAAAACAACTCAATTGTACTGTTTAAAACAGTTTAAGGTGACAGGTTAAAAAATTTTTTTAATTCTAAGTGCAATAAATGCAATTCATTCAAATAAACCATTAACCATATTTGCAGTTTCTACTAATTTACTGTTTTAATTGTACCTTGCAGCAATTTCCTTTTGTAGGACAATAAAGATCTGAACTAAAATAAACTAGACAATAAGTAAAGCACAAAGATTGGAGTAGTAGAGTGTATTTTAAACATTTTATTTAGCTTATATTTAGATGAGAACCAAAAGATATTTAAAATCCGCCACACTCTCATTCACAGTGTTGAGATGCAGGCTTAACAACAGTATTAACATTAGGGCTGCAACTATTATTATTTTCTTCATAATCCACCAACACAATTTTCCATATTACCTTATGACATCTTCAAATAGCTTGTTTTGTTCGACCGATATAACATCTTCACACTTAAGAAGCTGACATTAGTTAATTTTTGGCTGTTTTGCTTAATAAATCCAACGAAGGTTAAAATCAAGGGCAACTGGACTTGGTTGAAGATACTGGAAGACGTTTCGTCCCTCATCCAAAGGACTTCTTCAGTTCTGACTGACTGGCAGGGAAACTCAGCTATTTAACCTCAGTGGGGTCCTTTGGATGAGGGACGAAACGTCTTCCAGCATCTTCAACCAAGTCCAGTTGCCCTTGTTTTTAACCTTCGTTGGATAACTATGACCTGGATGACTGAGAATCTTCATAGACATCTTGCTTAATAAACAACTTTAATGATTATCAAGTAAGATTTATTTTATGACAATCTACTAATCGATTGATCAACAAATTGTATCTTTCATTTGGGCTGTAAATTCTCACAGTGACAAATAATTCTCTCCACTGTGATGCAGTGTATTTGCCTCTCCAAGTCTCCTGTCACTGACGGGGGTGTCAGGTAGCTTTGCATGCTGTATGCACACACACACACCCTTCTACTGTATATACAGAACGTGTACAATCGTAGGCAAATCCCAGTTTACTCACAGATTACTAGTAAACACTTAGTATTAAACATTTGTGATCAAATGCAAATTTCACAATTCAAGCAGCAACAAAAGATGGAGGACATTTAAAGCTGGAGGCGCTTTAAAGAGAAGTACATGCTGGGTTTAACTAAATTAAATATCTACAAAAAGTGTAGGCTGTTTAGTAACCAAGAAGACAAATATGTCTCCAATTAATTAAAATCAATTAATCAAAGAGTAAGGTTATATAAACATATTTGTCAGATAAAAACAGCAGCTTAGTCTTACCACCATGACACATCAATCATTGCACAATACTGCAACTTTCCAATGAATGTCTCCCTCATCTGATAATAAAATCATAATGAAGAAAATAACAATAAAGTCTTGTCTAAATAATTAAACTGAGAGTGAAAATTAAAATTGTCCTGCAACTTAAATTTTGTTTATTAAATACTTCACAATGTTTTTTTGTTCAAAAATATAACGACAACGATAAAGTGAAGCTAAAAGGTACGTGGATTCTCATGTTAACCCATCATACACGCCACCCCATCACATAAAAGGGTGCTGTGTGTCCAGCCTAGGAGAGCCACATCCCTGGCCCTCCCCACAGGCCACCTTTCATCAGGCTGTTTGTCTGAGCAAACCCACGCTCTCTCAACCAAGCTCCCGCTCTGACACATGCCCGCAGTGTTAACCCAGCCTGGTGTTGAGCAGTGGGAGTGTGCTGCCGTGTTTTCCTCTCTGTTTGTTTAAGTGATTAAGGTGGTGAACCCCAGCCCTTTGGAGGCTTCGGACTTCATGCCAAAAGAGCTGCTCAGAGAGCCCGCATTGTCTCCATCAATGATGGTGACATTTAATAGTGTTTAAACTCAGCTTAAAACCATAGCTTTCAGAGATAATTAAAAAATGGGCTTGGTCATTTAAGACTGATTGTGCGTGCAGTAATTTCTGTGCATAAAAAACAGACCAAAACTTCTATGACACTGACTTTAAAACACAACCACTTCCTTGAAGACGTTCATAATGAAAATCCTGTTCAATTAACAATTTTCACTTTGTGAACTGGCTATTCCTGTCTCTGGGGTTGCGTCCAGGGATTATGATGATGGCCTATATTTTGCATGCTGAAATCACAGGACGGCTTTTGTCTGGAAAACATTTACATTTCTTAACACAGCTGGCTTGTCCAACCACTGGCACAAAACAAACAATGAAGCAAGGTAGAAAAACAACAGGTAGGTTAAGTTACCACTAAAGAGGTATTTTAGTGTTAAACATCAAAACAACATGGACCATTTTGGACTTTTTAAAATAAACTGAGGTCAGCTCAAAGGCAAATTTGAATATTTAAGAGGAAACGATGTTTGTTTTGACAGTTCTGGTCTATGAAACTAAAAAAACCCCAAATAGAATAAATCTGATAGTTGCAATCAGTAAAAGGTAGTCAAAGGTAGCAACTGAAATTTCTGTGTTTATATTTTGATTAACAACAATTTAAGCTTTTTTAAAATCTCTTCGTAAAGGTTTATTCTGATTTGGACATTTTATATATCAGACACATTTATCTACATTTAAAATATGTCAAAACCGTTGAAATAGAAATTTTCACCAAGCACTAAGCAGACTATTTAAACAATAGACCCTTATAACATTGAGGTATGTCAAGAGCATGTGATGCTTAAGGGGGTGTGGCCCTCAGGTGCCCTGTGGAGGTAATACACTGCATAAGTAACACTGAGTGACTCATTCTTTCACACACCTTAAATACCACGCATGGCGCTCACACACCTTAACTCTTCGACATAATCTGACAACAAACTGTGGGAATAAGCTACACTTAATGAAAGAGGATCTCTTGGAAAAGCAAATCACGTGCATTTGAAGAACTGATGGATTTGGACTAAAAGACAGTGAGTTGTTAGAAACAAATGTAATCGCTCTAGTAGGATTATGTGCCGGGCAGATATCTTGTTTTGACTTCCACTGAGCAGGGTTTTTGCTCAGACAGAGGACACTTCTGAACTGGGGAAGTACTCATACTGTGCATTCTGTGCATCAAGTCTTTTAAGAGGCATTTTTGAACAGTCTGTGACAATGCCAGTGGTCAAAGTGGAGAAAGATTCTCCAGCAGACACCACCTTGTCTGCCTCCAACCCTCCACCACAGACAGAGGAGCAGCCCAAAGGTCGGAGAAGAAAGAGACCTCTCCAGCGAGGGAAACCCCCTTACAGCTACATTGCACTCATTTCTATGGCCATAGCCAACTCCCCCGATCGCAAGCTGACTTTGGGGGGCATCTACAAATTCATCACAGAGCGCTTCCCTTTCTACAGGGACAATTCAAAGAAATGGCAGAACTCCATCCGCCATAATTTAACTCTCAATGATTGCTTTATCAAGATCCCACGAGAGCCTGGGCGGCCAGGGAAGGGCAACTACTGGGCTTTAGACCCAAACGCAGAGGACATGTTTGAGAGCGGCAGCTTCCTGAGGCGCAGGAAGAGGTTTAAGCGATGTGACTTCAGCACTTACACCTCATACGTCCACGAAACACCAGTTTTCTCTCCTGTCCAGATTGCCAGATCAGCCGCATATGCCAACTCAGTCTATCCCAACATGACACTCAGTCCAACCTACGGGCAGCAGCTGCCCTATTACCCCTCTTCATCGCCTCCTGGGTTTGGACCTGGTCAGTCCCGCATGTTCAGCATCAATAACCTCATAGGACACCCGACTCCAGCAAGCATGCTGGGAGGTCAAGGGCCAGAGGTGATGCAGCAGCCCAGCCGAAGCTTCAGTCCTGAGGGGGTTCCAAACGGATCCAGTCCCTGCAGCCTGGGACCCCCAGCTTTTCAGAGCCAACCGTGCGGAGGGGCCCTATCATCTCGCCACTCCACACATCCTGGGTTTACCTACTCCGGGCCAAACGGGCACCCACACCATCATACACACCAGGGCTCGTATGGACAGGGCCACACCCAGGGGTATGCAGCAACAGGACGCCTGCATTCCTCAGCCCACGGGTCTGTGGAATCCATGGACCATTACGGCAGGGTCTCCCCAGTGCAGTTGGGCTCTTTCTCCCAGTATAACAGTGCTGCAGGTCCTACTGCCAACACTGGGGGTTACCTGAGGCACCCCACGTACCCAGGGAATATGGACAGGTTTGTGTCTGCCATCTGAATAGTAGATCCAAGCATCTCACTACCTTGCAAACAGAACATCAGAGACTAGAGTCGGCACCAAGTGAGCCAGACATTATAACAAACACAATTGTTTTTCTTTGTTCTGAGATTTGTTAAGGACAAAACAAAAAATTCCTCTGCTCACCACATTAACCCTACAATCCATTTTCCGTATTGATGGTAATTTACTTTGAGGTCCACGCTATACATTTGGATTTCGATGTCAAGTCTTCTTCACAACATGTGACAATGTAAAATGAATCTAATGTTGTGTGTGGTTGCAACTATTTTGTCATGAATTGAATGTCCAAGTTTAATATTTACATTACTGGTGAGTTGAAATGTTAGTATAAATTATTGTGCTTCATGTTCATACGCTTTACAATAAGTGGCTTGTATGAAGAACATCAGCTTTAGTACATTTGCATGTATTTTGTTGCCAAATGCATATTAGGTTGCCTTTTGGAAAATAAACAAACTTATAGAGCACTTTTATTCTTCAAAAATAAAACAATTTAAATATTTATTTTTATAATGTCTAAAGGGGAAGGTTTTGGTTTGCAGCCAGGTGACATCAGTTAGCCACAAAGTGAATTTATATATTTGTAATAGCTATAATTAAAATATAAAACATATGCAAAATAACAACTGACAGATCAACACGTCACCTAGACAAAAGAAAAACATTTCTTTTGTGCTGTGTTGCTTACTTTGCTGTTTCAGCTCAGCTGGTTTGAAGTGTTGTCTGGAGCCCCCAGTATTACCGTGACCAGCCTCAATTATCATGTCCAGACATCAACACAGCACTTAGACAAACACACACAGTTAATCTACCACACAGATCCACTAATCGAGAAAATGAATTGACTTGTAACTCGATATTTCAGCCTATAAAGTTAAGTAGTATCTAAACAATTGAAACCTCCTTTACAATAAAGTCTGATAGGACAAGATAGGACTTGCAAGGAAATGCTTCATTATAGTGAAAACACTTGATGTTTCTTTCAGAAAAGAAGCTTTGTTGACAGATATGACTTTTTCCTTTTCAACAATTTATCCTTAGTCATGGAAAAGGTACTAGTCTTTCACGAGTGCAGCTGAATCTTAAAATCTATGTGGATTAAATGATGATATCATATATAATCAGCAAACATCAAATTATATTCTCAAAAAGACAATGATTTAATTATTGTAATGCCTGAACTCAAGATAAAGAGATGGGCTACGCAACCAGGATTTGTGCAGCCTATCCAACCACATTTTAATCTAAAATTTAAATTTTTTAACATGACAAAAATAATGTTACTGATGAGCACAGTATTCTTCTTTGGAGGAAGTTTGTGTGTGTATATGTATGTATATATACACACACACACACACACACACACACACACACACACAGCATTTCTGAAGAAACTGTTTAAACACAGAAGGTGGACAGAATACATTTTCTGAATTAAAGTTGTGCATTTTGCATATTAACGCAAAACCAAACAAGAAAATCTGAAGGCTGTGGCACACAAATGCAAAAAATTAAAACCTAAAAATAATCTATCATGTCATCCAACCTGGAACAACACATCTGTTTTCATCTTTCTATTTATTGTATATAAAACTGTCAGTATCTATTTGTGTGGTTTTAAATATTATCTGCTGACAAAAAGTGGATAAACATTTTGAATTGTGTAATATATCACCGCCTCTGCTCTTGAAATGTGAAAAAGAACAAAGATAATCCATAAGATTTAAAAATATTTATTTCAAAAAATATGAACACTTATAAGCTAGGACAAGCTAAAACATAACATACAAATACAACAAACACAGCTGATAATGACAAACATGTCAGCCAATGTATTCAACAAGCTGTTGGAGTTGATCACAATTCTTCACAACGTCGGGCAAAGACAGCAGAGTCTGAGTGGGGAACAAGAAAACATTCATTACCTCAAATGTGCATACCACATTATACAGGCTACCAAGGATGAAAGAAGGCACAAACGCAATACGAAAAGCATCTCTCACCTCTCTGATCTTATTGATCATGTTGTTTAACATCTGAAGCTCATTCTCACTTTTCTGCTGGTTGGTCTGGTGGATGATTTGCTGTGAGAAAAATTACAACATCATGACCATACTGGATTATATAGTCGTTTAAACTGTAGGCAGTAATATCAGTAAAGAGCACAGTATATCAAGCCGATGCTTACATGTCTTTTTGCTCTATCAAGGAGTTTAACTCTGGCTTGCTCCACATCCTGAAGACTCAACTTCAGTCTCTCCACCTACAGATAAAATTTTATAAAGAGATGTGCGTTAAACCTGAAGTGTTTGCTCAATAATTCTCACACTGTAAGGAACAGGATCATACCTCTTTCAATAACTGGATCTTCTCTTCCATGAAATGTGCCGGGTTAGCTGACTGGCCACCAGCTTTTCTCAACTCCCCCCTCAGGAACTGAGTCTCCACCTTCGACTGCTGGAACAAACGATTAAGCTCTACAACCTCCTTCCGCAGTTCCTGAGAATTGACAAATAAAAAAAATGTATGTGTGGCCAACTGTATTCTGAGTGTTTCTAAATATGCATATGGATTTTTGTGCCTTACGTTACTCTCAGTCTTATGTTTATTTAGATTTTCCTGGGTCTCCTGTATGTCTGACATCAACTTTGTCAAAGTTTTCTCATCCTGCGTAAAGAAATAACATTTTAAAAAATACATTTCGGTGCCTATCCCCACCCAACAAGATCATTACTATGGGTCAGCTCTCTTCAGTCCCCATTTTGTTGTACCATAGATGAAGTAAACACTGAGAAGATGCAGTGGTTCTTACCTGAGCCTTCTGCTGCAGTGCATGATTGCCCCTCTCAACCAGGCTGTTCAGACAGCTAACTTGATGCTTAAGCTCAAACACCTCAGCCTCATGCCTGCTATTTGCGGCCTGCTGCTCCCCCTGCAGGCCACAGCTGAAACAATGCATCAGATAATGTTGGACAAGGACTACATACACCATCTGAAATTTTACATTAAGCTTGAATGAACAATGCTCTTCTCTAAAGTGAGGCAAGCTTTGCTTCAAGCAAAAACACCAAATATTCCTTATATCCCAACTGTGAGGGATTTGCTACTTTTGTTGTGTAATAACATAATTAAGTATGTTTGGGGTTTTGGACAGTTCAACAGAGCAGTTAATCAATGAAAATATTATCAGCATACTCATCAATAATTAAAAGTTAGTTTCCTACATTTCTTAATCATAATCTCAAAACAGGTGCCCATGTTTATTTCATCATCATGTACCTGTTACAGCACTTACATAGTGTTGTGTAGCTCCTCCAGCTGAGCGTCTTTACGCTGTTGCACCAGCTTCAGGGTGCTGATGAGCTCTGTGACGGTGCTGCCCAGGTCAGCAAACAGCTCTGTCATGCTGCTCTGCTCTTCCTCCTCGGGCTCAAACTGTACTGCGTTCAAATTCTTTTTAGGGGTGACGGCTGCAATGCGTGTGAAGGCACTTGTCTCACTGAACAAAGTTTCACACTGCGGCTCAGGCATGTCTGAGGGGACTGAAGAGACATACAGCCACTCTTTAACTCAGTTTGAGATATTAGATTTGACATGTAGATGTGCAATTTTCAGTTTCATTCCACTATGGTCCCTGTAACTAAGATGCTAGCTCTGCAAATTAATAATTGCTTCACAATTACTCAGATGTGTTCATTCAAAATACATATTGAATTTTAGCTACACATTTTACCAAAAGGCAGAAAATGTCAGTCGTGTTTATTAACCATGGAGATGATGTGATACGTGTAACAGCAGAAAATGTAATTGTGCACAAGGCTTCCACAAAAAAAAAAAAAACTAAGCTAAATAATTGCCTTAAAAGAACTGAGCTAGCTATTTGAAGCTTAACAGGCAAACAGTGATTACATTTTGGAAACTAGCTACATTACCTGGTCCAGGAGGTGTCTCTGTTTTGAGGTCTTCCTCCTTCTCAGCAGTTAATGCAACCATGACGCTGTCGACAAAGGAGCTGGAGGAGTGATGAAGCTCCACATCTTTATCCTTCGGTGGTTCTGATTTCTGAAAAGTAAAGAAAAATGTGTTTTTTCTCCACAGTGCTATGGTCCACTTACTGACAGTTCATTTCAGAATTACCTGCTTTTACAAAATTAGTTTTTAAAAATTTAAAAAACATGAAGTTTGACACCACATGTGTTATGCATTACCTGGTCAGTGAGCGATGCATGTAGTGTATTGGTCAGTCCTCGCAGTGTATGATGCAGCAAAGTAATTTCACTGACTGCCTGTCCCAGTTTATCTCTGAGCTCCAGCTGGGTCGCACTGGCTCTGGACCTTGTGGTTTCCAGTTCCTCCTGTAAACTCCTGTTCTCCAACCTGCATCATACATTCAGAGACAAGTAAGTTAGACAACTTTAAAACAATTAGTACCAGATTTTTTAAATATCTTTTTTTGTTTATATCATGATAAAATATAAACTTAAAACCAAGGCAGAGCTGTGACTTATTTCATTTTGCTTATTTCCTTACTTTCATTCACACAAAATCAACAATTGTTTTGTTTTAGTGATAGACCAACCGGTCGGTCAATCAGGATATCTGACATTGAGATAATCGGCATTATATATAAAGTGTATTACATACTGCAAAGAACTTGGTGGGCACAGCAAAAAAAAAAAATGTTGTAATGAAGTGAGACAGCAGTGATTTGAAAACCCGACAGATGCAACCTGCTGAATCTAATAAAAATTTCTGACTGGCATGTCGATATAATAACGACACATAAAAAATTTTAAAAATGCCGGCTTTCAGATGCAACTATAAAACATGTAAAAACATTTTTTTACATGGGTGTTGCTAACTTGAACTTACTGAAGTTGATTAAGTTCTCCTTTTAGGTCCTCACACTGGATGTTCCTCTCCCGGAGCCCTTGCAGGTTGGCCCTCAGCAGACGCTCACTTTCAGCCATCTGCTCCCTTGCCAACTCATTCTCCATCTGTAAGAACTGACACACACACACAAAAACAGAAAGCCACTTAATTGCCAATCAGACAGCAAAGTGCATTAAAAATATTCTCTCTATGGGCAAAGATACTCTTTCATGTTGGCTCATTTCACAAATGTATTATGTTATAATGGAGACGATGATAATTAAGTAAAAATAAGGCAGGTGTCTCCTTGCAATAAATGTGCTTCAGTCTCAGACATTATAGGCAGTCTAAATCTCACAACCATTCCAAGTCAAGAATCTAAAAAAGTACTGTGTAAGGCATTTGCAATCTAAAAGCTAACCTCGTTCATTTCCCGGACACCACTGAGTTGCGTGCAAACGTCCTGGAGCTGTTGGATCTGCACGTTCTGGGATTGTGAGATGGCCCGCAGCTGACTGAGCTGCTCCTCACTTTTAGCCAAAGCCTGACTGAGCTCACACTCACGCTGCTCCGACTGACCCAGTGACGTCTCCAACCTAGGCACAGGAAAAAAGCAGGCAGTGGCATCTGTACTTTAGGTCACATTTTAAGATGTGTGGCAGGGAGTTTGTTCTACTCGCAGAGAGGGTTGTGTATTGGCCTCACTCTTCTGTCATAATTTCTGTAGTTTAAACTATTACTGTTTCTTTGTCTACTGAATATGGACAACTGTGAGGGCAACTTGTCAGCAGCAGAAAGAGGGATAAGTTCCCTACCAACCAAATAGAGTATATGAAAACACGTGTGGAAAAGACATAACTTCACTAAATGGGCTTATGAATGCTTTTAGAAACAAATGTAAAGTTAATATAGGATATTAACAAGTCTGTGAGAAGGTGTTTAACGTAAGGTTTAACAAAAATAAACTTTTCTTCATGTAGTCAGTGTTTACTACAGACTACTACCAGTTAATGTTTTTAATCCCCAATGATTGACAAAATCATTGTCATCACTTACTCATTTGCTCTCTCCTTGGCTAGCTGGATGTCCTTCCATGACTGCTGCAACCTGAAACAACAACAGTTTTTAGCATCTGCATTCCGTATTTTAGTTTCGTCAAGAGCCCCATTGATAAAAAGGTTTTAAAAGCACAATTCCTTTTATTCCTGAGCACGTGTAAGCCATAAACAAATTCAGGGTCATACTTTGCACTCTCGGCAGCAAGGGCCTGCTCCAGGAAGGTGTAGGAGGCCAAAGTAGAGGAAACAGTGGCAGACAGTTCTGTCACCTTCCTCTCCAGCTGACCTTTCTCTTCCTCTCTTTCTGTTAGCTTCTGACGCAGCACACCCATCTCTGAAATTTAATGAAAAGAAAGAAATGTGAGCAATTGTATAGGCTGATGAAGAAGATAACTATATTGACGGTTTGAAAAAATGAGGAATAAAACAATCACAGAAAGTTAAACATTTATTTCAGTTTTTACCTGAGGTCAGAATTGTCACCTGCAGGTTTAAATCACCAATCTGTTCTCTGGCAGTTTGGAGATTCGTATTAGTCTGGTTCCATTCTTCTTCAATCTGTTGAGTACAAGTTAATTAAAAAAAAATAAAAAACCTTCATGATTTGCAGCCATGATCATTCAAGATCATCAAGACAAGTAGAAAAGAGCTGCAGGGCAACAAAGCAGACATCAGACCTGCTCTCTCTCTTCAACAGCTTGGTCTCTTGCACAGATATGCTCATCCCTCTCTTTCAAAGCAGCAGCTGCCTTCTCATTCAGCTTCAGGAGAATGGGAGCAGTTTTCTGCAGAAGGCCTCTAACTGTGCAGAGCTGTGAAAAGACAACCACAGAAAAGCATCAGCATTATGTGCATTACTGCATTTAAAACAAAGCTGTAAATGCTGTCTCTATACAATTGCATGATAGAGCTATTATTTATTAAACTATTAGTTATTAAATTCTGAGCAGAGTTCAAACCCCAATTGAAACAAAATAGTTAAAATCAAAACACTGCTAGTACTTTGTCATATCAGATTTTGGTCCTTTCTGCTCATCTAATCTTTTGTAGCGCCCGGCACATTGCGACTTTGGAGAACTGCAACATACTGTGTGAAGGTATTGTTATAGTGTTTGTTAGAGTCTCTCTCAGAGAAAAAATAAATAAATAAATAAAAATTTAAATCTGATATGACAAAGTACTAGCAGTACATACTATATTACTACACATACTTCTTTCATCAAACTCGATTGTTCCTCCATGGTTGTAGACAAAAGATCAGAAGCAGAATTTATCATTTCATTGTAGGCCTGGTTCAATGCAACCTGCATTTGCAGAGAAAAAAGAAAACATTTATGATGGATGGATATGCTGAATAGATGAAAATACAGACGTTTTGTTTGACAGTTTTCTATACCTGTTCTGGGTAAGTCTGATCTAGGGCAGCTAACAGTTCTTTCTGAGACCCCACAATCCGTTCCAGCTCTGAGATTTCTGTGGCACAGTGTGTCCGCAGCTGTTCCATCGCACTGAAGGCCTGGAAACACACAACCAGACACACACTTAATGCTCCTGGAGTGAGGATTAATTGGCAATAAACATGCAAAAAAGTTACTTTGGAAGGCATTCTACACATTTTTTGTACTTGACCACCAGACTACATAAAATGTTTACTATGAATAGGCCCATGATTGGCTCATTAAAGTTGTTTATATTCCAAAAGCATAACAAAGTATAGCCCTGGTTTAAAAAAATACACATTACAAAATATTATTTTGCATTGCAACCTGCAGTAGAGCCACTTGAACAAGGATTGGAATAGTCATGGAGCTAGTAGAAACTTGAGAGATTTGTCACTGTGCTTACCACCTCCTTGGCTGTGAAGGCCTCCTCCATCTGTACCTTCATGTCATCTCTTTGGTGAAAAGCATCTTTGACCTTCCGCATCATTACTGTCTGTGTCTCTTTTGTTCTCTCAAACAGAGATTTCATCAGACCATACTACACAACACAGGGAAAATATATAATTTAATTCATACCCACTGGATAACTACACAAAAGCAAGCAAATGATTTTAGATGTCAAAAATAGCCAAGACATGTTTACGAACATTTGAAATGAGGCTTTGATGATCCTCTTTGACGATGTCTCCTATTTGCTTCATGTTAGAGAGAGCAGTGGCCGTGTCAGAGCTCAAAGACGACTGTTGGTAATAAAAATAAATAATAATAAAAAAAAAAAGAATAATCACACACACTTCTGTTATTAAAGAACTAAATTAGATGTGTCAATGCATTGTTGTAAGATATAATAAATAATTTCACACAATTTATGTACTTGCGCGAGAAGTCCTTGAACACAGTTACATGTCACAGCCTTTTATCTATCAGGTTAAACAATACCATCTTACCATGATGACCCTCATGTCCTGCATACATTGGATGAGGTTCTGTAGAGAACTTCCGTCCAGCTCCAACTCACCAATCCTGCGCAGAGCCTCCAAATATAAGTCTCTGTGCATTGTGGTCTATATAAAATACAAAACAAATAATCCATTAAAACTGAAATTGTGGTCTCAAAAATCAACAGAGTGCTGAATTAGACAAACTTAAGAAGTCTGTGTCGCATGATCATAGCGAAAGAATAAAATCTACAAAAGTATAAACTATAAATGCTTCACATCTCCCACTGTCTGCCCCTTAAAGATATCGGAATGTGTCCTTACCTGACTGAGTTCAGTGTGGTCTGTCTGCACTAGTTTCTCCCTGATATCTGAAGGTGCAGGGCCTGCAGAAGGACATCCATGTGTCCTGGCTACAGACAACTGCTGCACCAGAGCCTCCACCATGATCATACTAGATATTAGCCTCTGCTCCAGCTCTTGTCTGGGTAGACATGCCAGGCTGCCTGGAGGTACACTGGGAGCACATCAACAGAAGGAAAGAGTGAGATGCTGACAGAGAAAACACAGGAAGCCAAATAAGCATGTCTTAATCACAAAAGTTTTATTTCATAACTAATCCAGAAGCAACACTTACTTCCACAGGAGAGGGTCGGTCAGAGTGCTAGAATCAACGAGAGAGAAATCTCTCTTTCTCTCAAACTGGCCAGATGTATTGACACTGTGGTCCACCACTTTCATAGGAGTGGTGCCCACACAGATACTGTGGGATTCTGAAGGTGTAGTTCTTGCCGACTGGACCATGACGGCAGCAGGAGGAAGAACGGGAGCGGAGACTGCAGCAGGCGCAATCTTTCCTGATGCCAAGAAGAGGAACTCAGCCATCTGCCGAAGCTGCTGCTGAAGGGGACCATCTGGAATGAAAGGGATATCCAGAACCGGCTTCTCCACATTAGACTGAGGCACTGCACAAGGCTTCACATCCACATCTGGCCCATTGAGTGGGCCTGGCTGGGGCCTGCAAAGTGCCGTCGAGTTAAACAAAGGACGTGGCATGGGGCTCTCCAAGTGCTCCACCCAAAACCCAGTGGGGTCGATGTTTATAGGAGCCACCACGGTCTTTTCACCCTCAGTAGCAGAATAGTCAGCCAAAAATTGGTCCACCGCATGATCCTTATGAGCATTTAATAAAACCATAGAGGCTCTTCTAACAATAGGACTGAGGATTCCAAACTGCAACGCTGATGCTGCTGAGGGACACTCTGACAGCATTTTCAAAACATCAGGGAGGTCTTCTGCATGGGGTTCTCCTGCAGAGTTACAAACAGGTTCATTTTCAGATGAACCAAAAGCGCTGTCTTTTGCCTCACTGGATTCTTGGGGTCCACTGTAAGAGACATGTTCCAGATGCACTTCCACAGTTGTAGATGTCTCCGCCAAGGTCGCAAGATGGCTGCAGTCAGAAGACGTAGTTCTGTGAACCACTGATGGCAAAACACTGTCTTCGGGATTTTTTGATGTTTCTTGTATACAATAAACAGATTTATTATCCACTGCCTTTAAAGAGACGTTAGTCAGATAAGATGCAACTATGGCTGGTGGGTCAGTAGCTACCACAACTTCGTTTTCCACGTGACTGTTGGGTTGTTCACAGTCATCTCGAATGTGATCCTGTGTTACAGAAGTAGGTCCACTGTTGTCATTCAGGGGCTGGCAAATTACATCCTGGTCGTCACTGATAAAAGAGCTGAATGTTGCCTCTTGTCTACCAGTCTGGTTTTCAGGTACCACCAAGCTAATCTGTTTAACCTCATCCACTGCATCAAGGCTGAAATGTAATGGTTCCTGGGTTATAGGGAGGTTGCCACTTGATTGATAATTTTCAGCGTTACAGTATGGGTGATCTACATGATCAGCACCGTTTTGCACATCTTGGTCACTAGCTAACACGCTTAGGTCTATCCCATAATTGACTGACTCACTGTAGGTCACAGTTTGGTCAGCTGGTACAGGAACCATGTCATCAGCAAGTTTGGTGCCATCTAGGAGTTCAATCTCACCACCAGTGCAGTTTAATGATTTGAAGGTTACATCACTCACTCCATTAGCAGACTTCTCAGAACCACTTGTGGTGAAGACACAAACATCATTTTCACTGCTACAGTAGGGATGGTCTGCATATTCCGCTTGACATAGTTGACCACAGTCAGACAGGTTTGTTAAACTGACACTATTGTCTGCTAAAGGTTCTCCAAGCTGTGCCTTGGGCAGAGGAATGGTCTTATCTTGTAGTCTGGTGACATCAGAAACGTCCACTTCACCACCATCACAGGCAAAGGATCTCCAAGTGATGTCTTTTGTTCCACAACAGTCATTCCGAAAATCTTGTGTGTCAAGTTTATCATCCAAGTGTCCAGAGGCCCTTGTAATGTTAGAAAATTCAGATTTGACATAGAGACATGCTGCGTCTATGTCAACCAAGGAAGCATCTTTCATCTCAGGGTTGCAATATGGGTGTTCCATGTGGTCACTGCATGACTGCACTATTATACTGTCAGAGATGACCGTATCTTCTGTTTGAGAAGTGTTTTTCATAGCCTGATCCTTGGGCAAAATAATACTCTCTTCTGCACACAATGAAGAGCCTGTGATCTCAACCTCCCCGCCAGGACAGATAAAGGATTTAAATGTTACATCTCCAAGTGAACAAGCTGTCTTATTAGTTGTCATATCAATACTGGAATCATTGGTTTGTATCACTTTGTTGCATGAAGGAGATTGCAAGTTGGTCTCTGGGTCCCAGAGAGGAATATCACCCTGTTGATTAGAATAAACAGAGGGTAAGAAAAAGCCAAAGCTACTGAGAACAATAGGAGCATTTCCAAATAGGAGTATAAACCCACTTTTGTCGTTTTCACAACTTCCGCATTGAGCAGTGATTTTGATTTGAACCTAGATGGAGTTGACAGCTGCAGCATTTCATTCTGCATACTTCTCAGAGGGGTACGCTCCCGACATCTGCTTGAAGGCTAACATCAACAGAAGTCAAACAATAAATATTATTAGCTTGTTCAATCATAATTTAACAACATACATTGTGAATAAGAGAGCACAAAAGTCTTAACATTACCAAGCCTTCCCCACTGGAACTTGACTTCCTGGAGGACATTACTCCTGCAGCTGGGAATCAACTTCTACAACTGCAAATAAAGAAGAATGTCCTATTAAACGTGTTTTAAAAAGTTCATTAAGCATGCTCGGTGAACACTAACATTAATGTTAAACCAGTTTCTAGATAGAATAGCTAACGCTAACTAAGAAGCTAAAGTTACTGACATTACGTAACGTATTCAGTAACTTAACGGCAGTTGACCGAAAAGCAGGGTTATTAACGCATTCAAAAGCGCAAATAACTAACCATGCCTGACTTGGATGTATGAAGTAACGTTAACACTAAATTTCCACACAAATGTGTTGCGAAGAATAATGTTAGAAAGGGCACATGCTGGCAAACTCCTACTTTGTGATAGCGTTACCAAAGTGTTTAACGTTAGCTAACGTAAAGTTACGTTAACTCCAGTTAGTTTAACTTACACACGCCTCACGGCGGCAGCTAACGTACATTTAAAACTAACCATAAATTGTTTGGAGCAGACCAGGAAATTATGTGAAAGCACATTACCTTCTGACTTGCACCAGCTAATTTTAACCGACGTTGCAAAAGTGACGGACGGTAAACAAACCCAGCGGTGAGCTACCATCAACCGCGTTTCATTCAAACACGAATGTCAGCTCTGCCATTGGTCCGTTCATCTTCTTCGGAGGTGTGACGCACTTGGCGGGCGTAAGACGTACTACTACAAACAGCTACCCCCAACCGGACGGTAATGGAAACACAAAGCTGTTTGTCATTTCTCAACTCTTCTCTCTCAGTATTTCGTGAAGTTAGGTGGGTTTCCATGAAATATAATAAGCCTTGACTGATTATAAATGTGCAAACAATTGTCTTAATTATAAAGATTGTTGGGCAAATGGATAAAACCATTGACAGTTTAGATTACTTTTTTTTATTATTATACAACACAAGGTTGTAATATAATCACTCTATATACACACCACATTTTTGGATCATTTGTACTTGACCGAAAGAAAAAAAGTAAAATAATTTTTCATTGTTTATCATTTCTGCAATACTAAAGCTTCCTGTCAGTAATAGAACACATACACAAGGACAAAAGGAAAAAAACAGAGGGCACTTCTGTTGAAAATAATCTTTTATTTAATTTACTTACTTAGTACTTAAAGAAAGTATGAATAATCAATATTACCATTGAGATATACATTTGTCAGTGAATAAATTATCTAGAAACGTTAAGATGAACACTTGACCCACTCTGTTTTTGCTTCTCTACGCACATGAAAAGTCTTTGTAGCTTCGAAGCTTTCACTGAAAGGTGTGTCTCACATTGAGGCAGTGTGTTGCTCGACAGGACGGACCTGCAGCACCTCAGCAAAGCCTCGTCCAAACCAGCAGGTGATGTCAGCTGTGTCCAGGGTAAAGAAGAAGAGTCTGTCTCTGCAACGTGTCCTCCTGTAGACTGACCTTGGGTCTGCTGACAGCACTCCTCTGATGGCGGCAGCAGCCTCCTCTGGACTGCGCAGAAACTTGAACCTGGGTCTGTCACTTTCAGATGGTCCTGTGTGACGTGCAAGTTTTCTTTAAAAGGCAGCACTCTGTTCTGCTATGATTGACTGTTTTCATACTCGTATCTTTCACAACAGCACCCTCTTGTGGAGAAAAATTAACATCACCCTTTTCTCTGGGTGACATTGGCCTTAATTATACTAATCATATGCATACTTTAAGTTTGGCTTACCTGACAGGTGTGTGGGAAGGAATTCTGCTAACTCCCTCTTAGCATGAACGGTGAAGCGTACCTCCAGACCGCCAACAGGAGGCTCTCTGATCCAGCCAGCAATGGTGCTATAAGCTTCCTCTCCATAGCAAGGGTGGTCCACTGTCGACTCTGGTGGTTTGGTTTTGGGAGAGTCTGAAAGTTGATCCTCTCTTTCACAGCTTAGCTGGCAAAGGTCACCTTGCGTCACACAGGCCTTAACCTCCTCCAGCACATTGTGTAGGTTTGTAAAGTGGGAAGACTGAGCACTGACTATAGGTGAATCTGTGACTGGAACACCAGCTTCAAAAATGTCTCTTGAGAGAAGACTCCCCACGTCACCTGACTGATCATCTGTTTCTGAGGTTTTATGAATGTTTAATATACCTGTACTGTCATTTAGCGACAAAGTAGTTGCCTGTGGTTGGTCTGTGTTTAAATCACAAGGCTCCGAGTCCATGCCCATCCTGGCGTTGGGGGAGTCGTACTCTGGGATGTAAGGTTTGATGTCCAGGACTGGGGTGCCAGAAATCATGTCAATGTCTGACAGATGTAGCGTATCACCTAGAAAATAAAGGTAGGAATGTATTTGTTTCTATCAAGCAGAGTAAAGTACTTGTTACTGTGGCTGATGTTAAATTTGACAGCTGAAATTTGTACTTTCTGTATATTAAACTGCGAGCAGAAAAAGACACATTCTGTACATTAGTATAGTCTAGCATTTAGAGTTTAAACATGGTAATATGTTTACATTCTGCTAAAAATGTACATAGTTCCTCACAAAGACAGAGACACATAGTTAGCAATATAAGACACATTTCGTTAATGACACTCACCTATAATTTTATCAAGTTTAGCTAGAGTTAAGCCCAAGGCATTTGGTCGGTGCGGACTGCGTGTCGCGTACACACCAACTCTCTGACCATCGAGTCGAGGAGGCTTGACTTTGGCTTTGTAACTCAGGTGCCCGTTTTTGTGAAAGAGAAAGATGATCCTGTAGAGACCAAACAAGGAAAGCACAGTCATGAAATAAATAGCCATGTTTAAAGCAGATGACAAACATAACATTTATTAACGCCATGTCTAAAAAAAAAAAAACAGCTACAGAGGTTAATGGTACTGCTGTCACAAGAAAAAGAAGGCTACTGAAAATTACTTGATAAGTGTATTTATTCAGCCCTTAATTACAATACCATTCTCAAAAGGCTTTATACACTCATATTTGGGATGGTGATGGCGCACTGGATAAGACACATGCCTTTGGTGTGGGAGACCCGGGGTTCAATTCCCACTGTGACACATCCACCAATGTGTCCCTATATAGCAATTGTAAGTCGCTTTGGCTCAGCTAAATGAAAAAATGTAATGTATTAAGACAAGCAGTTGCAGCAGGTTAAGAGTGCAAAAGTAAAATATCAATAAAAGGTGCTATATCAATTATCAATAAACAGTTATCCCAAATCCACAAAATCCAAATTATACACAATGCAAAAAATATAGCCTAACTGTAAGGTTGTTTTTGGTGAGCTGTATCTAGATATGCATGTATAATATAAAAGTACCGGTAAGTGTATATGGTTAAGATTAAGTACAAACGTGCATCTCTGCATGTGACCTACCAGACGTGGGAGTAGTGCTCCAGGCCCATCAGAGCGTGCTCAGGGTTATTGAAGACACTCTGCTGGATGCGCAGTTCTGCCCTTGAAGGGCCACAGATGGTGGGCTGTCTGGGTGTCCCATTCTTCATAGAGAAACAGGAACTGATGTGACCAATCGGGACTGTCTGGATGTTTCCTGGAACAACATATCACAAAATAATAATATAATAAAACGGTGAGCAGAACTCTGCACGTTCCATACTCTCTTAAATCTACGTGTGTGTTTCTCCACTTTTATTGAACTTTGTATATATATCAAGTTTTTATAGTCACATACACTGTCATACACAGAACATTGTCTAGTGAAATTCTTTCTCTGCATTTAACCCATCCTAACTTCTAGGAGCAGTCGGCAGCTACTGAACAGGGCCCAGGGACCAACTCCAATTCTAAGCCAGTGTTGTTGCCAGAGTATTAACCTAACATGTTTTTGAAGGTGAAGATGAGTGAATTAAATGATTAGTCGACTGACAGACAATGAATCAGATTTGCAGATCTTTGTTTTACAACAATGTGAAGTTAATATCTTGGATTTTTGACTGTTGCTCAGACAAAACAAGAAACTTGAAGATGTCATCTTGGACTCTTGGCCCATTGTGACTGGATCTTCTTTACTATTTTAGTGACTATTGAACAATTAATATAACAATGGTAAAGCACATGATTTTTTTTACTATTATTTTACACCTTTGGCACAAATATTTGGGATGAATAATCTTCTATTTTATGTGACGTGACGCAGTAGTATGAACTGCAGCAACACTGTAATGTCGATGGATATACTGAAATACACATCTTTTTTTACATTACCATTTGTGGGTGACTTTACAGTTGTACTAATGGTAATTACCTTGCTCTAATGCAGCCTGTGATGGTGCTGGTGAAGGCGGTGGTTGTGGCTGGTCTTTTTTATGGTCAGGTTCACGGAGTGCCATCTTTGACACAGCGGACTGAATGGATGTCATATGTTTGCGATGAGCTCTGACTGCACTGTCCAACATCTGCCTGTTAAAGAAGGGCAGAGACAAGTAAACAACATATCAGAGAAAACACTCAGCAGCATCTCTACCGTCTACGTAAACTAAATGCCTTTGGTTTAGATCAGAGAATATTGATAATGTTTTATTCTTCTTTTATGGAACATATTTAAAATTTCTCACTTTAAGCTGCTGTAATCAGGAATGTGTTTATGTAAATCAAACAGAAGCCACAGTACAAGAAATGGTCAGATTAACTTCTGTGTATACTGATAAATTCCCTTGCACTGTGACTTTAGATTCTTGCATATGTGCCATATTTGAGTATTTAAACTCTTCTAATAATATTGTAATTTTTTGTAATGAATGGATTTGTGTTTTAGGTTTTTGTGTCAAACTAATTGTCTATGTGTACTTCTGTTTGCATACTATCCTGCCTTGAATTCTCCCTTAAGGGGCAAATAAGAGTATTCTGAATTTAATTTCAAAGGAAAAGAAATAAAAGTTTTATGGAAATGGAGTGCGACTTCATGCCTATACAGGTGAAGTAGCGTTGCATATTAATACCGTGTTTAAAGAAGACATTTATTAACGCCATGTCTAAAGAGAAAACAGCTACAGAGGTTAACTGTGCATTCAGATATCCACTTGTTTACTACCCGCGATGCTGTGAACATACCTCAGGTTCTTGATTTCTTTTCTCATCACAGAAACCTGCTGGTTCAGTTTATGAATGTACTCGCCGCAGCAGCCACACAGAGGACTCATCTTACTGATGAGTCTAAAGGATGACAAAAACAAAGATCTGAATAAGCAAGCTTTCAGCTAGCTGCTAAACGGCAACAAACCACACGCGGATGAAACACGTGGGAGCTTCTCTATGCGGAAGCACTTGTTGGATTTCCTGTTGAGAGCGTTTCACGTGACAACATAATAACCGTCTGGGCTGTGCAGCTTTTTGTGGCTTTGTCACATCCTCTATGTCGTGTGTTGTAACGTGAATGTAGAAAGAAAACACTACTTGCAGCTAATAGACATAAATGCCGCATGAATTCAGATGAAGTCATTAATAATTTTGCATTAGTTATGTTTTACATCACTAGAGGGCAGCAAAGAGCGATGTCATGCTTTACTCTTTTTTTTTTTACTCTACAGATTCAAATGTTACACACAAAATATATAATGCAATGCACTGTTATGGATTAAACAGAATACAAAGAAGTTACAATTGGCTCCACCTCACCTTTCTGCATCAGTAGTAATAACGGAATAATCTAATGTATATTACATAAAGTATATTATACTGACAGGTGCCATTCTGTTGCATAATGAGCACTTTTACTTTTGATACTTTAAATACATTGTACTGATAATGCTAATTTTGAATGCAGGACTGAGTTGTAATAGACAATGTGATATTGTTACTTTTACTGAAGTAAAACATCTGAATACTTTTTGTACTCTGTATATAGTACTAAGTGAAGCACTGCCAGCAAAATAACAGTTTTACAAACAGGCAGTTTAAGTAGAACCAGGTAGGCTGTAAGGCACAGATGAATTATAGGCACACAGATATTCTGTTCACATTGCAAGTAATATTGAGATAGATACTTTTTAATTTTACTCACCAGAGCAGAGGGAAAAGTTACTTATCAAATTATTTAGAGAGAGTTATTATTTAGAGAGCTTTTATTTAATTATCTTTGTCACATATGTCTGTGAGTGACAGATAATGACAACAGATGATTGTAAGCATTGTATTTTATTTTGGTGAAAAACAACTTTTACAAAATTCAATGAAATAAATCCACAATTACAAATATATAATTACCAGTGATTAATATAATTTACTTTTAAATAAAAGCAGGCAAATTTTTTTGTTTACTAAATGCAAAATACAAAAAGAAATTTCATGAACTTCGCAGTGAAGCACAAACCAGAATAAATAAGCATACAGGTTTGGTTTGAATTCATACATTTGTCAGATAAGCAATGTATATGCTCAGCATGTTTGTTCTCTTGAACCAGCAGGCTGCACACTAACCAGAATAATACTTAGATACAAACTGTGACCAAAAAGTATGAAGTCTGGCTTGCGTGTTCTGAACTGAGGCAGTATCTGAAATGTGTGTTTTAGAAAATTAGAATGAATTTCCTGGGAGATATTCTTGTGGAGGAGGCGGCGAGGACATGGTGGGAATTGAGAACATTTTGTTTTGTTCAGGTATGTTGATCGACGGTGTCTCACTCAAATCTAAAAAAAGGCAGGATACAGTTAATATAAAGACACATATTTTAACACATTCAAAACCTTCAACCAGGAAGTGTTTCAAAAGTTTTGTCCAAGCTTACATTTCCACACCATTCATTCTTCTAGGAGTCTACAGTTCCTCTTTATTACCTTCATCAGCTCTTTTGTCTACCTCCTCATCTGGGCCTAAGTCCTCAATCAGGACCAGGTCTTGGGCCTCCCTTTCTTGTGACTCCTTGTAGAGGGTCTCCACCTGAGGAGGAGCTGAAAGAGGAGTCGTGGCTGCAGCTGGAACAGGGGCTTGGATCAGGAATGGGATTTGAACAGCATCTGGCGCTGGAGCCGAATCTTGGACAGGAATTGGAGCCGTGTCTAGAACTTTGGTGGGAGAGGGAGCAGGAACTGCGGGTGAAAAAAAGGCTGGAGTTGGGTTAACTGGAGCTGGAGAAGTCATGGTAGGAGCAAAGACAGGGCTTTGGACAGATCCAAACACTGGCAGAGGAGCAGGGGCAGCGAGGACAGATGCTGCTTGTGATTCTAAAGCAAGAAAGGGGGATAGAGAGCCTGATGTTTGCTCTGGGAAGGCCTCAGCAGGTTCAGGCACCACCATTACTGCAGGAGCTTCCTGAGGCACTGCTTGCTTTTCCTGAATGACAGATAACTCTGAGGTGGGTTCAGTCTTCCTGGGTCTCCCTCTCTTCTTTGAGCCGGTCTTGTCCTCAGCCCTTGCTCTTTTCCTCTGGCTCTCCACCCTGGGAGAGTACAACAGTTGTAATCAACCTCAACAACAGTGGACATTGATACAGCTCTTTGTGATACTTTTGCAAAGCTAATAGTACAAAGTCCTTGACCTGGATTTGGGGCGTCAATAGAAACACCAGAGCAACCTTTGGTTTTCTCTTGCTCCACATTCAACATAAAGCAGAGGAGTGATAAGCAGCTGATAAAGTCTTCACATTGTGAAGTACAGTGTTTTACAATGCACACATTCTTAATAAAACTTTACGTTCTTAATGGATGCAAAAAGTGCTATTTTTACTCTAGATTGCATTAAAACAATTATACAATTTTTTGTATACTCTATCAATACACTGGTACATAAGTACTTGAATTTGTACAATTTGTCTGTACTGCTAAACCTATGATGGTTACTCCATTAGTGAAGTGAACATAGCTGCAAATGTAGGTCACTGCACTAACATTGGCAGTGCTTTTCTATAAATTTACCCAAAAACCCACTGGTTTGTTTCCTTCTCTTCTGCTTCAGCCTTTCTCTTCCTTAGGAGATCCCTGTCCCGCAATCGGCGGCGGATCCCACCTATAAAATAGAAATCCGTGCAGAGAAACCATTCAAACAAGGCCAGTATTAAATCTAAGATATGCAGAGCAGTAGTGTTTACACAAGACTGCCAAATGTGGTTTAGAGGCATTTCTTTTCTTCCAGCTTCATAGGAAGTCTTTGGCAGAAGCGTTTCCCCCCTAAGGTTTAAAACACAACTATACAAATAGACTGAACCTGTCTTTTATTTGTAGTCAGACACCTTAAATTCAAATATTTCTGTGTCTGAACTGACCTTAAGACACCACACTGTGTGAAAATGAATAGCTGTCTCACTCAGCTCTCTAGTGTAGAAATACTGAAGAACTCAATTTCAAGGGAAGAGAAGAAATTTGATAAGTTACCTTGGTCCTCATTTGGATTTTTATATTCCGACTCTTGTTTCTCTTGCTGCAACGTCTCCTCCATTCTGAGTCCTGCTATGAATGAATTCAACTCATTGATGGCGGGTAAGCACAGAAAAGAGGACCGAATAACTTCTGACTGTTTTCTATTCCCACCCCTAAATGAATTATCTGGTTAACCATTACCATAGTGCTGGAAGAGTTCTTGCAGCTTTGGTCTTATCATATTTGTAAAGCTGGAGGAGTTGGCAGACTGACAGAGATGGGAAAAAAAGAAGACTGGAGCAAGTTGTGTGTGGGCATTGTGTGGTAGGAATAAAATGTGTGGTAAAGGAGGAACTATATGCAGAAATTGGTTTATTAGACTGTAAAGTAAAGCAAAAATAATTTGTGCAATGATGTCTTAATTAAACCAGTAAAGACAGAAATATTATTATGGAAGCCAGCTAAAAGACTGCTGTTGCTTAGCAAAGGTAAAAGTATACTTAAACTAAAGAAAATTATTTAATGTCTAAATTGCCTTATAAATAAAGTTCTGAATATTTCAAAGCCCTACATGTTGTTTTCTACATAAATAATAAATAAACATATGAAAAACCCTTTTTATTCATGTTGAGTCTGTCTTTTTCTAATAAAGCCATGTGTTGTTAAGGTATCTGGGTGGATTACTATGTTGAAAGCAAAAAAGATCGAGCAAGAAATCTTGTCTTCAACTGGAGTAGGGGGCATAACCATCTTATCTCGCAGATGGAGAGCTGCTCAGTTGGGGTGTGTTCTCAATCTTCTCACAGCACATTGAGCCCTGATGTGTGTGTTTGAGCCACTCAGAGAAAGAAGCTGTCCAGCAGAGTAAATAACGCCCAACTGCCAATTGCCTCCAGCACTGTAGGGGAAAAGTTGAGGGTCTCTTGGTTAAATTCACCCACTGTCTGTGTGGAAGGACCTTCTTGTAATTCACACACACTTTCTAAAATTATAGTATGAGAATTCTCTGTCTAAATTACTGTCTGGTTCACGTAGTGCATTCTTTATGAATGAACCTATGGGTGCAAGCCGGTCTTTGTGAAAAATATGCTCCTTTACCTGTTTCGTCCAGGGTGGATTTGAATATAAAAACTCATTTTACAAAGCCATACACTATAACGTCCTACTCTGGGATACACTACACCACAGGCTGCACACCGTTAACTGGTAAAAGTCAACAGACAGAAACTTGGACTCCTTCAAAGTATGCACTCTTTCCAAATGACAGATTATTATCAATATTACTGTTTCAGACAAAAACTGAAAACGCTTTCACTTACACAAACACCCCTACTGTTGGACAATGAAACTTAAAAGGAATGTAATAGATACTACAGTGCCATCTTCTGGTGTACTTTTTCAACTACCAAACACTAATTTAAAAACATTTAACATGTATATATTATGTATGAATAGCTTGCACAAGGCCAAACATAGACTATTTGGATTATGTTCCCTAAACAGTGTATCCACAGTATTACAGCCTGTGTACATGTTAAATCTTTACCACTAAGATCAAAACTGAATCTATAATTTTCCCAAAATCCAGAATAGCATTGGTGATTCATATTTGAAGTTATAAAAATCTACCATTCATACTCAGTAGACTTCTACGGGAGAGCTCCGGTGTCTCAGGAAGTTTAAAAAAAAAGGGGGGGGGGGGTTCCCTGCTCTCCACATGCATGTATACAATAATCTCTTTACTGCAAACCAAACACACCCCTCCTTTCTTCAAACCGTGTCCAAACGGTTAAAGTAATATGGCATTTATGAACCAAAAGTACAACAGTTTATCCATTATGCGGGTTTATTGATCAAAATTGTCACAAGCATCACAAACGCATCACTGGCTGGGCTACAAACAAAAGAGATATGTTTGCTTTGGTGGGCAACAGGTTTGAGTAGTATTTAACACAGGATTTCTTTAAGATGTTGGTTATTTGCATTACTTACACATTGAATATGAAACAACAATAATATAACGTTATATACAGTCAAACCCGGGCATGTTTTGAAGCTATGGAACTTTATTAACTTAGGCAGATAAACAAAGTTCACCGTATGACCTACTTTATCGACGTTTAATTGGTCGATTGCTATTTTAAGGGATAAACTGTGCACGCTATCTGCACTCCTCCATTTAATAAAACGGACATTAAAGACAAAAAAAAGCTCTTGTCTTCACTGAACATAGTACAGTAATTCCTTGCAGAAATAAATTGCACCATAGCACTGTTTCGGGGCAGCGTCATGTTTTGTGACTGCAATGCCTTTGTGGAGGCGATGGGCGTTTCTGGGCGCAGATGGCGCTGTTGAGCATATATTTTGTTTCAGTCCCGTTTCCCTCCATGGTTTCTCCTCTCTCCGACTAACTTAGCGTTTGGCTCAGTTCATTATACAGTCCTATATTCTCCCTCCATTAGGGCATCTCTGCCTTTGGACTGAAGATCCCACCAAAACCCAAGAGAGAAAAGTTTTACTTTCATAGGGCAAGATGGACATGAAAAAGAGGATCCACTTGGAGCTAAGAAACAGGACACCGTCTGATGTGAGTCGTGCTTTTTAAAACCAACCCTTAGTTTTCTGGCTAGCCTTTGCTAGCTACTTTTTTGCTTTGCGAGTGACCTGTGTGGCTAACGTAATGGTGACCACATGGGCTTTAGATTATGTTTCTCGTTTATAATAGGGCGGAAAACACTCGCACAACAAGCTTAATCCCTTATACTGTTCTGGATTGGGCGTATGGGGACAACGAGACGAGAAAAGCTATATTCAATCGTTACTTTGAAACGGCGATTCCTCAGCTTGCTGGCATTATTGCAGTGCTTTAACCGTTTCGCAGCCTCCTTGGTCAGTGGTGCACACACGATTCAGCTCGACTTCATCGTTGTAGCACAATTAGTAAACTTCTTTTTACGCTGATATATTAGGAAATTTGCCTCCAGCGCCGCGTTTGGCATTTACATAGTGGTATATTTTATACAGACCTTGGGAGCCATGTTTGCTGCTAGCATAACTGCTAAAACGGGGCGCTTTTTTATTATAAATGTTCTTTACAACTCCAATGTGTTCGTGCAAAAAAATTGACTTTTGTTACCATGTAAACGGGCCGTCGCCGATCACGAGTTGGGTCTTAAAATTTCAATAGAGTACGTTAACGTTAATATCAAATGGCCAGATTCAGCAGCGACAACAAAAAACAGTCACTTGATTCACCAGTCATCCATACCATGACCATTTAATGTTAAGGCACTGTTACTACAACCATATCCCGTTTATAGTTACACAAACTAACAGCAAATAGCCAACTATTCCTGCAGTCGTTATTTGTTTTAAGCCATGGTTAAGATGTGACGAATGGCAAGTTTTAAAAAGGAAATGTACAGCAGTTAATTCCCTAAAATAGCTTACATACTTGTATAGCAGCTACGGTACCCTTTCATGTCGTTGCCTCTACTCGTCTAAACATTGCACACTCATTTAATGGAGTCTGGTGATTCCGATTCAGAATCACCCAGCAGCAGCCACCGAACTTAGTATTTTTGTTCCCGCCATATTACCCCCTCTTCCCTACACAGGTCAAAAACAAGAAAATATATCCAAGTGTAAACTCAAAACATCAAACAACGATTATTTCGTCCACAAATTGTAGTTAAAAGCTAAACTTGACGTTGTTTGCCACTAAAAAGGACCGACGTGTTGGCCAACGGCTTCATTAACCGAGCCAGGCTGCTTGAATGACACGGAGATCCGGTGCACCGCGCTTGATGCGTGGGCAGCCAAAAACTCGACGGTGGGCATTTCCTCTCGACTCATGCACGAAATAAAACTAATTTAACATCGAAAAATAACTCAGGTAATGTGTAAGTAACGATAATTACTCTCTCCAAACATCACTTTTCGCCATTGAAGTGTTCAGAGAACTGCATACTGTGTCTCAGGAATCGCCATGTTGTCATTCTGTCGTCTTTGAAGCTCTGGGAGAAAGGAACTGTCTCCATCTTTGTTTTTACTAAATTTCCGTTCTCAATATATTTCCTTCGCCACTTCGACCTGAAAACGATGTAGTGCCCTGTAACAATATCGGTCGTTCGCTCGACGACAAAGAATATTCCACTTCCCCAATGAAAGCTGGTTTTACGAAAGAAAAAAAAGAAACTCTTTACTAAGGGTGTATTCGCAATCCTTTCCGTTGCTGTTGGGTTGGCTAATGGCGGGCAGACACAGCTCTGTAGCTGCTCCTCTACTGCACGGCAGCGTTTAAAAGGGGCAATGGCTAGCCTGTAGCAAGCTAGCTCACAAAAATCATTGCATTTGTCATTAGTGACTGCATCTGCAGGCCGTGGGCAGCTACTGCTTTGCTCTTCCTCGTTTCAAAGAAATCAATTCATTAACTGTCGCGCCCGGAGAAATTAAGCACACAGTGACGCAAAGTGTTTTTAGATGGAGACACAGTATCCATGTCGGTGTTTTACTTTAGAAATCGTGATCTTTGACGTTTGACAACTTTTTTTTGCAACGTTTTTTCCTAACAATGAATTGCGCAACCAGTGTTAGTCAAACTAACTCCGCCTTCAGATTTGTTTGTCTAATATTTTAAAGCAACTACAAAACGTTGTTAGATTATTTTACACAAATAAAGAGCCATTCTGCTAAACATCATCATCCCCTTTTAAACACTGTTATGGTTATGTTGTTGGGCAGCTTGTTTTCTAGATGGTTTTGTTAATAAATTAAATTGTTTTGTTTAAGAGAAGAGAGCTTCTAAAATGTTATTATATAATATATATTTTTTTATAATACATTTTAATTATGGATCACTAGTAAGAATAGTTTTATTAAATGCAAAACCAGTGGAGATGATATTTTTAAATGTGATACTTTTCTGTATTTCAGGTACGAGAACTTGTCCTTGACAATTGTCGATCAGTGGAAGGAAAAATTGAAGGCCTCACAGCTGAGTTTGTCAACCTGGAGTTCCTCAGTTTGATAAATGTTGGCTTAATCTCAGTCTCCAACCTACCTAAACTAGGAAAACTCAAAAAGGTAAAATGTTTTACCTTTGTACATCCACGTAAAAGCTGAATTGTAGTGTCAGTCAAAATAACATCTGTCTCTACCATCTTTCAGCTGG